ACAAATTTTTCACAGTAGGATTTGTATTTAGGGCCAGATTCAAGTTTTAGAAGGGGTTTGGAGGTATTGAACGTTTTTACTTTAAGAGTCACGTACTAATAGATAATTTTTTGTATAGATGCTGGTGAAATGTGGTGAGATATGGTGAAATTGATGGTGAATCGGTGAAATTGTGTAATTAATTTCACCAGCATCTATAGTTTTTTGAGTTAATAAATGCATAGGTATAAAAAAATTATAGGTTTGTTTTAGTAAAAATTTAGCATAAAACTTGATATAAAGCTTTAAAAAAAAAAAATTATAAATTGTTTAGTTATTCAAATAATAAATTATCCTTTATAGTGGATGATGCTTTAAAAATTGAAACATAAAATTTTTGGATGTTCTATAGAATAGGTGGACAATATAAAAATTAAATTCCACTGATGATTAGTAATCGTTAATAAATATTTGGCGGAGTTGCGGAGTTTGCCCACCTATTCTATAGAACATCCGCTAAATTTATTAATTTATATAAAATTTGTTAATTTGAATGACTTTATCAGCTTACAATAATTTTTTTAAATTAAATAGATTTTATTATATATAAATTAAATGTTTATATAATGTTAGTGCATAATAACTCATAAAAGTTAAAACATGATAAAATGCTAAATATTCGCAATATAATGTATTAGGTTTATTAAAAATTACATTTTAGCTGTTTTTAGAATGTAAAAAGAAATTGCTAAAATGATTATTGTTATAAATTATTACTGCCAAGATTAGTGCACGGCAAAATCAAACAAAAACTTGATTTTAAGTTTTTGAATCTAACAATTTACAGTATTAAATACAAAATTTATTTTTTATAAATATATAAAATCTACAGGCATCCGATCTTATAATAAAGTTTAAAAAATAGATTTTGTAATTAAAGAACAATACTGTAAATCGATTGATTCAAAAACTTGAAAAACAAGATTTTGTTTTATTTTGCTGAGCACTAGCTAAGCTCTTAGCAATAAAGTTAATAATTCAAGTTTTTATAATAAAATTTTAACCTCCTTAATATTGGAATGATTAATAAAATTAATTACTTATTGCTCTTTTCGATTTAGTTGGATCGATGAATTTTGCAGATATATTTTTTTGTCTGAATTCCATAAATCCGTGAATCCGTGAGTTTCATATATGCATATATCCTGCATATAACTAATTGTTAGCTGTATATTATGTTATGGCAATAAACAACTAATTACAAATAATTTTTATATCTAGGCATATACATATACGAATTCATAGAACTCAAAATTTCATCGATCCAACTAAATCGAAATGAGTTGTTAGAAGAGGGTTAAGAATTTTATTGCTTAATTGTTATTAGATGAATTATGGCCTGTCGGACGATAGTCATAATTTTAGGTTTAAAAAGTGGCCTGTCGGGATGACAGTCACGAAGAATTTTCTTGATATTTGTGCATGTAGCGATAACGTCATTAAATTCTATGAAAATTCAGCAAATTCTCATTCTGAAATTTGAATCATATAAGCAACCAATTAATTTCTTACCTTATTGAAATGAAGTATTTACTATTATTAATTTCAAGCAATGTGGCATCGCATAAGTTATAGGGGTAAATTTTTTCTCAAGAATTGCTATTCTATAATTCGTTTTACAGATCGGCTAGATAATTTGCGAAAAAGACAACAGAATGAAATTAAATATGGAAAAAACATAAAAAGATGAGTTTCCTTATCTTTCATTATCTCACTGGTTTCTGCATAGATTTTGTAACATAGTCTGATACACAAAAATGCGATTTGTAATGTTAATCTTTGATATTGTGAAATTACTACATACACAAAATGCCGTATTCAATTAGTCATATATACTAACTAAAATTAGTTTAGGCTTTTAATGAAATAAATTCTTTTAATATGGATCTGAACGATCAGATCAGAATTTCAATGGTCAAATTTAATCTAATTTGTCCAATCAGGGACAGGTGTTATAATTGTGGGAGAGACTCTCTAATTGCGGCGTCAGTTTAACTCAAGGTTACAGGATGTGAAGAAACGTGAATTTTGGTTGGTACAGTAATAATTCCAGATCGACTGCATAACTTACAGCGCATACTTAATCCTTCACACGACATCAATAAAAAGGACCATTGTTGTACGTCTTATAGAAGAGGACTACTGTATAGCCAAAATTCTAGATGCAGTGTGGAACGACACGGGTTAGCAACACACTTAATTTAGAATATAACGGGTTTTTAAGGTTATTGTACTTCTTAGGTGAGCACCCAGATATTTTAATGCATGCTATTGGGCCACTTCTCTCCTATCGGAGGTGAGCGAAATTTTTGTATCACGTTTAAAAATTACCCAACAAGATGTTAGGTGCTTACGTCAGAAATATACAATTACTATCGCGAAGCGGGGAATAAATAAGTTATTCACCCGTTTCATTAATGGAAAGCTGGAGGCTATTTCTCTATTGAGTTTGAATTAATTGTACCCAGAAATAATAGCGAAAACCCCGTAACCAACAATTAGTAAAACGGGAATAACGAATATATACAGTCAGACCTCTAAATGCATGCGTAGGGACCATAGTAAAAATTTTTAAAAACATGCATTTAGAGAGGTAAAAATCTATAAGTGTTATATTAAGTTGGGCCGAAAAAAAGGTATGCATTTAGGGAGATCTTACATAGATATGCATTTAGGGAGGTTGCATTTAGGAGGTCTGACTGTATTAGTTTAGTTGCTGTATTTTTACATTTCAAATTATGATAGTTTGAAACCAAAATTCCGAGTTCCAAACCAATATTAGTGGTCTTGGACCAAGATCCATGGTTCCAAACTAAGACCCGCGGTTCAAAGCCACCACATATTTAGATCTTTTATCAAAAAAGGGAAACATTATTATTCGACTAACTATATACAGGATAGATTAGTATACAAAAATAAAAAATTATGCAAGAATTTTCGCAACACAGGATTTCTAAATGTCCAATAATAACTTGGAAAATTGTAAATCAAAGATTAAGATTCAATTGCTCTACACTAAAACAAAGTCAAAAAAGTTGAATTAAAAAAACAAGCGTATGTACACCATCAAATTTCGGTCATATATTTTACACTATGACACAGAGATGAAATTGATGAGATGTAAAACATATCTAGGAGAAGCCATACCATGTTTGCAACACAAATTTAAATGTGTTAAAGAATGAATATAAATACGTGATGCGCAGCTAGGTAACCCAAAGATAATCATAGCAAGAAGATAATAAGAAATTAAAAAATTTCAGCATCTAAAGTATAATGTCATAAGAAATTTTGTATTTCTTGTAATGAATTCACTATAATCAACTAAAATGGTCGCTCTCAAGATGCACTCTTCAATTTCATCCTCAATACGTAGTAGAACTTTGAAGTTTTATGTAATTATTTATTTACCATATATGGTAAATAAATAAAATTATACATATTAGAGTTAGTTTACGTTTACTACGTATTACTGACGATCATCCAACAACAAATAGACTTCTATAACAAAACTCCATCCTGACATTCATCGTCAAAAAATTAAAAAAAAAACTTGAAATACCAGTGAATCAGTAGGACCTCTTAGCTACTAATTTCCAATATAAATTTTACCAAATTTTCTTTTTACGCAACCATAGGGTTTCTTTAATTTGAAGGCTCATCGAAACTTGATACATTTATTGTTACAATTTGATAATGTAAATGATTAAAAATGTCTGCAATAAATTCATTAGATCCGCTTAAATATCTATAACAGGGCTAAAACGACATATAGTATACGGCAGCTCCGCTGCCCATTGTTTGAAGTATCGTTTTTGATACATCAAATCAACAGAGGTCTTTTTCGATTTTTAACAGCTGCCTAGTGCATTGGGGGTGCGTCAAGTATAACCAAGGTTTGCGTTAGGAGAGCATCTTTCTGCGTTGCGAATACCAAAGCAAAATTTCCTATTATATAATCTAATAGGAAATTTTACTTTGTATCGCAGCGCAGGAAGATGCTCTCCTGATGCAAACATGGATTATACTTGACACACCTACAATACACTAGGCAGCTGTTAAAAATCGAAAAAGACCTCTACTCATCAAATATACGAGTAATAAAATTTTAATATAATATGAATCAAACGACACTTATTGAATGGCAGGTATTTACTATGTGTCGTTTTAGCCCTGCTCTATAATCCCACGTTCATTTTATGCTCACTTGCCTAAAGTGTAAGACAATAGTAACAACGACTAAAAAAAATCACCGTCATATTTTGAGATTTAAGGAGTTGGTTTTCTAGTGAGTCTGACAAAATATAAATTTATGCGCATAAATAGATGCACAATATAGAGTTTAGCTTGTACGTATGTACGTAAGTACGAACTGACTAAATATAGAGTTTATAAATGAAACCTATGTATGTAATAAAACTTCAATTAGAATAATGACTAATTAAATAACGAAATCAAATCAATCACCTATTACAATGTTGAAATTTTGAAAAGTTCATTCCTTTAAAAATATATTAATACATACAAAATTCTAAGATATTGTCAAAGTATTAGCTCGTTATCGAGTTCTTTTTTTTTTTAGTATATGTGAAGCTACCATATAATTTTGAAATTTTATTTTAAAAGAATAAACTAAAATAATTTGTTATATCTTTACCAGACGTATGTAAGTACTGTACATACATACCAGATATGAATTTTTTGTTACTTAGATCACCGAAAGTTTTCTAAAAATGCATAAGCATAGAATTAATGCAAGAGTTGATTTTCCCTCCTACATAATTTTTAAATATTTTACGTTCAAAGGGGGAATGTAGTTTTCATGCGTTCCTGATATAGACACAATCAAAGAGATACTATATTTAATTAACTCATTTAAAATGATCATTTGAGATTTAAGGAGCACAAAGATATTGTTTCTCATATACAAATATAAATAATCGGAGTTCTACAATAAAGCTATGCCGGCTATATTAAACACCGATTTTATAGGTATTTACCCCTTATTGTGTTCAATAATTTTTAACAAAAAGGCTCAGTCAGAAACTCAAAACTGTTAAAATAGTAATCCTCATGTTTTCTCGCAATAATAATGGAAAATACAAGTGTATGTCATCAAGTCAAAAGGTTAACAAAAAATAAATATAACTCTCACAAAAGTTTAACACTAAAGTTAAAAGTATGTACGTCTTTATATATCTATATTTATACCCTGGTCACTATATCAAGATCGCAGGGCATAAAATCAGGTATACCCTGGGCACTATGTGTATAAGCGGGAATTTCATCCCCGTTTATACCCAACTGCCCAGGATATACTATTACATATCAATCTCAAAATTATCAACTATCTCCAAAGTGCTGATTTTATAGTTTGATATTTTCGTCTTATTCGCAAAATAAATAATTATTCAACCTTTTTATAATAGGTTGGAAGTGTTAAATATGAAAACATAGTAAAGGTTTCTGGTCTTACGAATGGTAAATTTCCCGTTTAATCAAAAGAAAAAACAAAACTTGAATAACATGATTTAAATTGTATTATAGATAATAGGAGTTATCGTGAACTCACTAATTACGACAATCTGAGGAATTATCTCAGAAGGTATTCTCTAATCCCATGGGAAGAAAAGGTTACATTATTATGGCAGACTATTGGTGGAAGAAAGTATCTTATCGATAACAGTGTTCCTATTGAATTGGTAATATTTTACAGCCCATATCAAATTTAACCACTATATCGTGATGTTAATTTTTTTCTTTATAGGAACCGAAAAATATATTCATACATGATTCAATTCTAAAAATTACAAATATAGTAGATAATGTTCACGATGATTTTCAGCTTATTCGATATATTTCTCCCGAAAGTTTTTCTAATGAAAAGACAAAATCGGATATCTACAGCTTTGGTATATTATTATGGGAAATATTTAGCAGTATCAAGCTTTTTCAAGAGGATTATAATATTTTGTATACAATTAAGAGTGCTCGAAAGTCATCTCTTAAAAATGTTGATCTTTATAAACTTTGTTTGCTTGATGATCTCGGTAAATGTAATATAACGAATGATACGGTGATTTTATATTTATTGATTTTTTATTCACTAACTTTAAAAAAATGAATTGGTTAATTGCAGATAAAAGATCTAGTTGGAATAGAATCGTTAAAGGACTTGAAAATATTTCTGTTGGTCAAAATTATATTGAAAATGCTGGATACGAAAATAAACATACTCGCTTTGATAAAAATTTCTTGATCTTGTCAGATTTCAATTCATTAGAAAATGTGAAAAAAAGACAAATAATTGAATCTTTTAAATTGAATAAAGGTTGTAATCGTGATGGTTTTAACTTTAATAATGCAAAGAAAGACATTTTCGAAAACATTGAACTAACCTCAGATAAAGTGGAGTTTATACCAATTGTTTATTTCGCAAGCATAAATGTAGAACCTTGGGGATTTTTAAATAGCCTCAATTTATCACCATGCCTTGATAGTGGTAATTTGTTTGCTGATTCAAATATTATAAAAATCCTCTTCCCGGTCAGAACAATAGAACATTGTGGAAATTTAAAAGATGATTTTGTCAGGGAAATTAAAATTGCGCTTAAGATTTTGAATATACGTGAAAAAAGGAATAGATTAAAAGAAATATTTAATGAATATGGTAAATTCGTAATTACAAAGTTCACAATAGGTGGAGCAATCACAATCGATTGTTCAAAAGTTAATGCTAAAAGTGTAGAACGTTTACAAACATACCTTTATTGGGCTGTAAATTGTGCAAAAGGTGAATCTCAGCCTATTTTTGAACTTACATCACTAGATAATTTTCTATCATTTGAAACATTTCCATCGAGACATATGGAAATTGTTAAAGATTTAAATTCTTGGGTGAAGGATGTGTATGACTGTAAAAACGTAGCTATTATATCATATGAGGACTATAAACCATCTTATGATTTATTAGATAATGAATTAAAACACGAGATATTTGAATGTTTTTCCTTTAGACCTACCAATCAAAACCTTCCAAAGTTAATTCCACAACTTCCTGCCGAGTATAAGCAAAAGATTTTTTCAGAATGGATATCAAAATCTTCATTATTATTGCGTGTACATGATTTGATAGAAAAACTTTCATTACAATATGAAGTTTTTTTGAGTGATTCAAAATTAGGATACGGGAAAAAAATAACGACTAAAATTTTGAAAGAGCCTAATATTACCTTAGAGAATAGTACAACAATTTCATTTATTAATTCTCAAAATCGACAAATCACCTATTCATTACCAGTTATAGATAAGTTTGACGAGACTTCTTATTGCATTACACCATTTAATTATTCATCAAATTATTCATTAGACCATTTTCAAAATCATAAGAAAATTTGTTGTCAAATTAAATATAACATAGCAAAAATTTCTTTAGATTTGTCGACTATCATACCTACCGAGCTTTATAATGATTCTTTTATATATTATGGAAATTATTATAGTCAGATATTGCCAAAGACCTTTTATATCGGTAGTACATTAACTACAACAAATGAAACTTGTGATATTCCTGATATACCTAACAAAGTTTCACAAGAAATGTTACCAGAAAGAATTGAACAATTATTAAAGGAGTTAAGAGAAAACTATAATATTAACACTACATCATTTCTTTGTAATGATGGAAGAATTATTAATCAGAATCAAATTAGAGATTGGTTAGAAAATATTCAATCCAATCTTGAAAATTTGGAAATTATTTCTTTTGAAGATTGGAATCCATCTTATCGAATGTTAAGTCAATTGCGGGAGGATATAGGGTCAATCTCAGATAATGAATATCAGATCGTTTTTAATGAAGAAAACTTAATAAGTCAAGATAATCAAAATAATATGACAATTAAATTTCCTCATCCACTTATAAATGATAATTACCATATTTATGGATATATTTTAGAAAAATCCGATAATTTGGAAGAATCTTGGGAAAAAACTCCTGCAGCTATTACATTTGATCAAACTAACAAATATGGATGTAACGTGATTATACATAAAAATAATAACTTAAAGTAAGTATTAAAAATTATTATACTATTGCATGGTTATGAAAAAAACAGATCAAATGAATGATTAAGGAGAAATCAGTAAGCTAATATATATCATTGATACGGATAGCTTATTATAGCTTACTGATTCTGTTTACTCTTCATCTGACCTGTGAAAAATATAAATTTTTTCAATACTTTTTTAAGCTCTAATTAATGTTTAATCCTAATCAATAACACGGATACCGTAGTGAACTGCCTAAAAACCCGGAGTCTAATACAAAATACGCATAATTTCGATTAACGGCGGATATATAATGTAGAAATTAATATAAAAACCATGCAAAATACACGGTTAAAAATAATGTATCAGAAATCATGGGCAGTTCACTACGATAATTATACCCTGGTCACTATATCAAGATTGTAGGGTATAATCAGTGTTGTCAATGGACATGGACATATAAAAATATGGATGTCCATATCCATGAACATATAAAAATATGTCCATGTCCATGTCCAATAATTTGCTTGGACATATGTCCATGTACAACACTGGGTGTAATCAGTTATACACTGGGCTCTGTGTTTAAGCGGAAATTTCATTTCCGGTTATACCCAGTGTATAACTATTACATATTGTATCTCTAGACTTGCATCTCTAGATTAGAATCTACCGGGTTCAAAATTTTGTAAATTATAACATTTATAGGTTAGAATTGTTTAAAATTAGAGTTTAAACTACTTTTAATTTAGATCTAAATTTAAATTCAAGCCTGGCTGAATTCTAATTTAAAGTGCAACATATTGAATAGAGATTGGAATCGATGACTAATTATTCGAGCATCGAAATATGCTTTCATTCACAGAGTTTTTAATTCGGTTATCATCGATCATCAGTGAAAGTTAAAACTTAACTATTTGTTTTGATAATGATAACATAATGTTATTATCGTGCAAACTCTTATGATCATATTTCTTCTTGTTATTTTTTGTATGTTATTACATAAGCACAACAATCTCGAATTAAAACTCAGTTAGCCAATAATGACTTGTAAATCATGATCATAATTGCACGATAACATCGATATTGGATAATGCGATGATAAATATCATAAAATTTGTTCTGCCGGAACAAATGATTGGCTGAAATGTGCCGCTGCGCGACACATGTCAGCCAACCACCAACCATTTGCTCCGACAATACAAATTTCATGATATTAATCGTTGCATAACCAATATCTTATAAATAATGATTATATAATTGTATTAAAAATGTAGTGATAAAAATTGATAAATTTTTTTACCGATGCTCGAAACTCATCGATTCCACTTTCTAATATTAAATATAAATGATACCATTTTTTTCACTTATTCTGATGCTGAGGTACATATCGGGTGAATATAAAAATAAATACAAGATATTGAGATGCTAATCTTTATAAAAATAACGCATCAGATACTCAATTTGTGCATCCACCAAAGATTTGTGATTCGCTTAAAAAAGTGTTGAAAAAATACTGTATTTATTTTTTAAAACATATCAATAATTATTAATTCAAATATTTGATTTTAAAAAGGTTCAAACAAGATGCAACTAAAATTAAATGGTTTGTAATTGATAAATCCGATGAATTCAATGAAGATAATTATACAAATTCTAAAGTTACTTGTGGAAGACTTGACATTGATGGATCACAAAATGAAATATTCATCATGACTAATAATATTAAAGCAAATTATGTACTTGCGACTTCATTTGTTCATAAATCACAAAGTGATACTACTAGTTATTATAATATCACGCTTAAATATTGGACTAAATATCGAATTGTTTTAAAAATTCAAAAACAACAAAAATCAAATCAAAATAGTAAAAAAGAGGAATTTATTGAAGAAAAAATAACTCTTAATTGGTGTGTAATTGATACAAATGGAAAGGATTTAAAGAATCAATGTGGAGTTATCCTTGATAATGATTCAAGAAAAGAATATGATGATTTAATAGATTATGAACAAAATAATTTGCGGTTGTCAGATACAACTGACCAACATCATAGGCAAGATATCAACTTTAGCAAAATATTTAATTTAGGTAGCTTTTTATATTTAGATAAAAACTCAAAAGGAAATGAATGGGTAATACAAATAGATATAGCTGTGACTAAGTCACTAGCAAACAGGGATCGTTCCAAAGACATAAAGGCAAGAAATGCATATGCTTTAAAGCTACCAATTAATGCCCCGACTTTGAATACTTTGGTAGATGAAATAAAAATCAATATTTTTAAATTCATATTATATCCAAAAAACTTATCATTAGCATGTAAAGGATGGAATAATATTGTAAATGATGCACAAGCAAAAGCCGAATGGATTCTTTATCATTATGGGAGTTCACATTCACTATTTCATGCAGTTAGACTTGGTCCAAGCTTTATTAATACCTTTGTTGTACAGTCAATACTTGCCAAGAGTGGTTTATTTTCCCGGTACTTTGCGCAAAGATTGTGTATGCACTTTGGAAGATATGATAATAAACTCATAGAGCTTAAGATAAGGCACATGAGTCAAGCTGATGCAGAAAGAATTCAACGTCTTCAACAAAAACATAATTTACCTTGGGCTAGTAATTTACCTATATCAGTATTCACATATTTAGTTACCGAAGCTTCAAAACGTTTTGGTGAACAAGATCTTGCATTGAAAGGGAATGACTTGGAATTATTTCATTTTTACACAGCAGGCCCACACGTTATAACTAATGCCCAAAATATATTAGTAAAGAATATAGAACTCATCAAAACGCTTATCTATCAATATAAATTTATACCATTCCCACCGAGATCTGTTGCTAGGCCATCTAACTTTCCAGAAGAATATCCGCCAAAGGACGGTTACGAGAATAATAGGCAATTGAACGTGATTGCTCGAGCAATCTTGATTCACAAAGAATTAGTCGGCATGTGGATTGATATAGGTTATTTTGATATATGTAAAGATGTGAATGATCTAGTTTTACAAGGAGCCATCTTAATACTTTATCCCCCTATGCCTACCAATGAATGGACCCGTCCGGATGTGAATAAAATCAATGAACGTCTCTCAGAATTTCTCGAACTTGGTTTTAAACTGACATATTCACTAATTAGCGATATCTTACAATTATTTGAGCATCGATTAGACGATATTGGAGAAACTTTACTTGAAGCATTTTCATCACTTAAAAAAGATGATGATTTTTTCAAAAATTGTATAATAGAAGTAATTAAGTCAGAACGTAATCTCAAAAAATTGAATCTATTAGATTTCTTATATCGCAGTATCAAACAAAATCAAGAGCAATTATTCTTAGACGCAATGAGATTTCATGGATTAGATAATCATTTAATTGATCATGATAAACTTCAAACGTATACAACATCCATAAAGTCACTTTCTTTCTCACCTATTTACTATTATTGGGCCCTTTCTAAATTTAAATCAGTTTCGTCTATAGCATCACTTTGCTTTAAAGATATTTTAGAAACAAGAATTAGTATTGATATTAAACGACAAAATTCTGATGAAATTTTGAATGGAATTCAAACTGAAATCGAAATAGCTTGCAACATTTATAATACTTATTGTAATATGAGAAATTTTTTCTTGCCTATTTACATGAATTCAATCTCTCTAGTATCAGATGATGATATACTTGGGCCATTATTCAAAAGTTATTTACCAAAAATATTTAAAATACCCGAATCTTTCCAATTCCCTCTACCAATCATTGAACTTGAAAATGATGTATTTCCACCTTTACCATTGATAAATGACGATTCAAAAGGAATTGAAGAGAATGAAGAAAGTTATGAACAAAAAATTCAAGAATGGTCAGTTGTATTAAAAAGGATGAAACATGATATTGACACAAGAACAAATGAAGAAACACAAATAACTCAAGAATTTAGGACATATCTCCGAGAATTTGTAGCAGATGCAGATATTGAACTTAATTAAATAAATATACTTGGATTTCTTTTTTTTTTTTAAGGTATCTTTTTAGTAGTGATTCGGTAGTATTCATATTTCCAGTTTCTAAAAATCAAAAATCCCCGACTTAAATACTGTAATTATAATCCATTTATTATAAAACGCACCTATGGTGGTTTTGCAACTATTATAAAGTTTATCATTTTATATTTTTCTAAGTTTTGAATATAAAAGTTAGCGTTAGGGTTTGGAAGGGTTTTTAGGGGTGTAGAGCATTTTTATTTAGGACACCTTGCACTGATCAATTAACCAGTTTTTGAGATAATATATGAGTGACGGAAAGTGAAAACCTGTAAACCATTTCACTCATTATCATTTCAGTGATATCTGCCCCTATAAAAATTTGTGGTGTTTATCACTGCGATGATAATGAATGAAATGATTTACAGGTTTTCATTTTCCATCACTCACATACATAGATGTAGAACATCATAGGTGCGTTTTTGTAAAAGCCTTATAATCTTTTAATATTTTATAACATTAAATAAAATCTTATTATAACAATATCAGGCGAATTAACGACAGAATAGCCTAAATTTAATTTAATACAGTACTGTCCCGGAATAACAATTAAATAATACAAGTCATGGATCTGGTGCTTTAAGCGTGAGACTCTATATTCAAAGCATTATAGCTAGATGACAAAATTGTGTGTGGAAATAATATCTACACTTCATCTAAAAGGTTGATATTATATTTCACCTTATATACTATAGAAGTTCAACAATAGTTTTTATTTAATTAGATTAATGTTTTTAGAAATTTAATATTAAATATCTTTTTTTTACTTGATAAAAGTTTCTGAACAATAATTCATAAATTAGAATAGCTTTGACTCATTCGATTATTCAGCTTATGGTTAACTAGTGTTCAGAAGCATTTATATTTTCATTTTTCTATTCTTTTTTGTAGACATTCAAATTAATATCTATGTATAATTTTATAATGAATATTTGATTTTTTTGAACAGATTATACTCTTATAACAACTTTAAATGCTATTACAAAAACAAACTAGGTATTTTATTAAATTAATAAGCATATTTAAATTAGTTGCACTTGAGAAAATTGATTTTTTATTCACCTTATTTTTTTAATGTATTAGGCTTCTTCCAATACTCCTATTCATCAAACTCTTGTTTGTTACTTCTTATTTAAGAAAGATAATGCAGTGTGTACAGAGTGTATTGTTAAGAAAAATAAACAAATTAGTCAAAAAAATCATTTTAAGATCCCAAATTTATTCTCATGTAACAATTCAGAAACTAGAGTAACTAATTAATTTCACCAGGTACCACCAGTATTACCAATGTTGTTTGGTGAAAATTAGTGACCATTGAAGACTAGTTTCGCCTGCAACTCTAATAGAAACCCAGGAATTCTACAATAAAAAGCTTGTTAGACGAAAAAAAAAATATTAACAATCAGGTGACATACTGTGTAGTGGTCATCAGTGTTGCACATTGGCAACAGACGATCCAAAAATGCGATCGATATTCCGAAGTTATACATACAGTAAGAAATAAATATTACTATGTCCGTAGTAATTTGGTAATTTAATTGCGTAATACTGTAGCACAATTGGGTTCTTTAAAGTTTAATTTAAACGATTAACATTGGATTTATAATTTACCAAATAATAAAATTCAAATACACATCCCAGCGTCCTGTGATCTCACGGGTTCTAAATATATATATATATATATTTAAAATTAATTTGATTATTATCGTTATACTACATCATGTTATTCATACACGATTACGCAATTAGGGGTACAGTATTGGCAGAACAAATGTAAAATTAATAATATACAATCGTCATTGTACAGTACTGTGCTTAAACTAAATTCTGAAATTAAAATAACACTTATTTGTGCAACGTTGTACGTACGTACGTAAGACTCTCATTTACAAATCACTTAAATGTTAAAGCCAAGTTTTAGCGCTAAGTGCAGTGTTTCTGTTTATAGTATTTTATTAATTAATAGTGATGAGATAAGCAAAACAAAAGATAATGTGATTATTTATTAGATATAAAATTAATATTAATTTTCTTTCATGATAAGTATAACGTACTATTAATAAAATTAATAGAATATTTTAAAATCATCGCAGTTTTCGCACATGTTTATCCGAAAATACATGTCCTTAATTCGTAGTCAGTGTCATGATACGATTGCTGTGAAAGGAGTGACATAAAATTATTCTACTATCTTTAATCGTCCATATGGTGTTTATCATGGATAGTTAATTTTAGTTTAATTTTATGTGTATTTACTATTGGTTAGTTCCAGTAATAACAAGGGATGACATGAACGAATATTATTAATAGTTGAGATCAATAGAAGCGAAATACAAACACTACCTGTTACTTCTATCATAATCAACTTTAAGAAATGTTATATACGGAACAGTAGGCAAAGGCGTAATAATCCTGAAAAATATCAATAACACAAAAAATTTTATTGAAATAACCCACCTTCAATGACTAAATAAAGGCCTATTTCAAGCACTTCTCTCAATGAATTTGGTAAGAATCAGAATTTGATTGGTCAGTTTGATCAATCAGTTCTTTGTTGAGTCAATTAAGGAGGTGCTTAAGAATGGCCAAACGCATTAATATTTAATTTTCAATATAAGTAAAATAAGTTGATCAAAAAGCTCGAGACAACCATAATGTACAACACTACCCTGAAATGTTGCGAACCCCTTGCAGGAATTTCTCTTATCTTTTTTAATGTGTAACTCATATTATGAAATCAAAAGTAGCTATGAACTATGTTGGACTTTACGTACTTTGGTCTTATATACATTCTAAAGTTTTAAACGTTTACACCTAAATTATATTGTATACACAAAGACACTACAAAATTAATACACGTGCCTCAGATGTCGATTTTTGGCCAGCATTAATTGATTGGCATTGATTGGCCTAAATTAAACCCTAACCTTAAGTCGATTGAGTACTCCAAGTTATAATAAAACATATGTTTAAAACTGGAGTGGTTAATATGGTTTATTATAATTTTGGAGTACTCCATTTGACAACCCTATGTTAGAAGATACAAGTTTAGTGTAATCACATATGCAGAATTTTTGGTGTATACGTGATTCACTTACATTTATACGTATGAAGTAGAGGTGCAGGTGAATCGTCCCAATGATGGCGTAACTTTTCCGTAGCATGCCGCAACTATATTAAACATTATAAAAAGTTACGGCATGTTTGCCGTACCTTTTTATAATTTTTTAATATAGTTGCGGCATGCAATCTTCAATTATATTATTTTAGTATAATTGATTAAATTTATTTACGGATCAATGAAATTAGATACTGTTATCAAAACACGATTACGTACCGTGTTGCTGCAAAATAACGTACGCACATGGGCGTTATTTAAAACAATGGCTCGAATTAAGCCAAAATTTGAAATTACACCGTGAGCGTTGTTTCGAAACAATACGGTAAGGGGAATGATAACGGGAATACTGGAAAATATGAGCAAACGGTATGATGGAAAATTTTAATTTTAATTACCTTGATATAATTAAAAACTCCATATAAAAATCATTCGAATCTAGATTGATGTTATCTGCCGAATGAGAGAACTGCTTTTATTAATCAGTCCCTATAAAAAAAAAAATTAAAAAACATATTCAAGTTTTGTTCAATAATTTTATACTGAAAAAAAAATTATAACCAGGAAATCGGAAATATTCAGGAAAATTAGAAATATTCAGGAAATTATAAGGGTTTTATATAGGTTTTCATTACGAAAAATGCTCATTTTTATCTGAACAAAACCTGAATATGTTTTTTAATTTTTTTTTTATAGGGAGTAATACGTATCCGATAGTTTCAATTCATATAATTCACTATCTATAAAAAAACCTATTTAAACAATTCTGTAATATACAGTAGAATAATATAATTTTTAAGAAAAATTACCTTGGTATTTATAATTATTATCAAATGGAATAAAGTATATCTTCGTTTTTATATTTTGTAATTTTTTACTAGATTCAAATAATTCTTGTAAAATAGTTTAACTATTCTGCCATTCCGAAAAATATCAACAATTTCTTTTGTGGTTGGTTGTTTGTCTGGTTCCATATTTCAACATTTCTTCATTAAATCAGCATATCATATTCTGTATTTTCGTATATATGCGGTCGTAAACCATCACATACTTGTAACTGAAAATGTAATTTTGATTTTTGTTCGAAAGGTACAGGTTTACCGTATAAAATTTCCCACATGGTTATACCAAACGAATAAATATCGGATTCTTTAATATATGGTTGGTTGGTTAAAATTTCAGGGGCAATCTATGGTAAAATTCCATAAACTCCACAAGATTCTGATTTTAATGCAATGTTAGCTGTTATTGGAAGTTCTAAATCTGCTATGTATTTACTTTTAAAGCTTTTTAGTACAGTTGACCCTCTCAGAATCGGTATGCATGGTGGACAGGTTTTGTATCAGGTTTGAGAGGTTATCGGATTTGAAAACAGTTTTATATAGCTGGATTGGTAATTTTTTATCGGTTTTGAGAGGGTCGACTGTAATATGTTTCCACTATGTAAGTTTCGTTGAATAAGATCATGAAAATAAATTATCCAAAGATCTGACGTAATTCATTGTAATTATTTAATTTATCTTTCCAATCCATATGTGCTGTAGCTTATAGATTTTTGCGCAAACTACCATAAAAAGCATAATCCATAATCTTCAGAAGGTTTGTCTTTTGATGTGCCAAAGCATTTTAAAAATGTTGGATCTTTAAGACCGATATCGCATTATGCTTGCAACTTATTACGTATTAAAAAGAAATATGTACTTAAATTATTAATAATAAATAATAAATGGTTTACTGCAATTAACCAAAATATCTAATAAGGATTACCTTTCACAAATTCTTCGTGGTAATTACTTGATTTATGAATAATTTAAGCGCAACAGCTCTGTATCATCATTCCATCTAGCATAATATACAGTTGCAAATCCACCTTTACTTATCTCACTAATATTTTTAAATTCATCATAAGAAATCCATGATAGCTGACATTCATTTTCGATTAATATTTTTTTCAAATCATCTTCAATTTCAAAATTATGTATCCACTCATTTGTAACTAATATTAACTTATAAAATTCAGTCAATTTTAAATTTTTATAGAAATTAATAAGAATATGGTTTATGGTTTATAATAAATTATAATAATACCTGATGTTAAATCTTTTCCCCTAATCGGTGATTTGATATTTGAAGTGGTTTAACAAATATATCGATATATAATATAATTTAGTAAATGATAACGTAACGGGATTCCAGATCTATCGATCAAATATTAAGGTCAAATGTAATTGCTTACGAAATCAAAAAAAAATTTAGGTTAAGGCTATCACTCTACCTATTCCAACTTTAGCCTTGACAAATTAATTTGTTTTCAATTACATCTGACCTTAAATTTAACCTTTTATACCGGTATTTTGCTTTATACAAGTCTCTTGTTATTCCAATTCCATTTCAATTACATCTGACCTTAAATTTAACCTTTTATACCAGTATTTGGCTTTATACAAGTCTCTTGTTATTCCAATTCCATTTCGATAACATTCTGCAACCTTTGACTTTCTAGCGGCGGCGTACCCATCTATGCTGATCTTTGAAAATAAATAAATGCCTTACGTTCGTCCTTTTCAACTCCAAGTCCAAAATAATAACATTAACCAACATCACACATTCCGCCAGCGTTCCCTATTTCTGTAGATTTTTTGATAATAAATGAACGCCTTATGCTCATCCTTATCAACTCCATTTACAAAAAAATAACAATACTGATTCATTCAGCGTCACCCACTCTGCTAATTTCTGCCAACAAACGAATGCCATATTTTTATCCTCCTCAATTCCTTTCCATAAAAATAGCAATACCAAGGTTAGGCATTCCAGTAGCGTTTCCCATCTTTGCAGATCATTGATAATAATAATTGAATGTCTTATTCTCATCCTTTTCAACTCAAATTCCATTTTTATAACAATTTCCAACATATTATACTCCAGCAGCATTCCCAATCTCTACAGATTTTTAGTAATAAATGAATGCCTTATGTTCATCCTTTTCAACTCCAATTCCCATTTCGGTAATATCCTGCAACACTTGACATACCATTAGCGTCGCCCATCTTGGCTGATTTATGAATGCCTTATTCTCATCCTTTTCAACTCCAATTTCTTTTTCATAACAATATCCAACATCATTTGTTCCAGCTGTATGCCCATCTCTGCAGATTTTTGATAATAAATGAATGCCTTATGCTCATCTTTTTCAATTCCAATTCCGTTTTAATATTAATATCCAACTGCTCTTGTTCCATCAGCGCCATCCATCTCTGCAAATTTTTGATAATGAATGAATGCCTTATGTTCACTTATAATTCCACCTTGATAACAAACACCCACACAAAATAACCCTTTAGCAAATTCCATATTAGCAGATTTTTGATAATTCATGAATGCCTCACGTCTGTCCTTTTCAACTCCAATTCCTTTTTCATAACAATATATGTTCCACTAAGATTTCCCATCTCCGCAGATTTGATAATAAATGAATGCCTTATATGTTCGACCTTTTCAATTCCAATTCCATTTTGATAAGAATATCCAACATCCTCTGTCCCAACAGCGTCCCCATCTTTGGATATTTTTGATACTAAATGAATGTTTTATTTTCGTCCTTTTCAACTCCAATTCCATTCTGATAACAATATCCAACATTACGTGTTCCTAAAGCATCCCCATATCTGCAGATTTTTGATAATAAATGAATGCCTTACGTCTATCTTTTTCAACTCTAATTCCATAATCATGACAATATCCAACAGCATTTATTCCACTAGCAATTCCCATTTCTGCGGATTTTTAATAATAAATGAATGCTTTATATTCATCCTTTTCAACCCATTTTACCAAAACTATACCAATTTGTAAGAATTATTTGAGTCATAGAATTGGTTTGATTATCTAAGCAAAAATTGATAATATTAACTGTTTTTTATTATAAATTGTTCCAATGTATCAATAATTAAATTGAAATCTTTGGCCTTTTAATCTTTCTTTGTGATACAGATTATACATCCTCAAATCAATATGAATAAAAATGACCTTAACGGATGATTATTATAATACATACTAATCTGATGTGAATAAGAAGCTATATGAGAAGTAAGCAGCTCATATAAATACTTTGACTATTAAATAATCGCTATACTTAGAGACTAAATCAGTATAAATAAAAAACGAGGAATGGATATAATTATGTTCAATTTCCAAATTAAATTGGCGATACGATCTTTGCTAGATTACTGTATATTCAATTGCTAAATATGTCCCTTGTGAGAGGGTAAATTGTGGCTTGAGATCGACATTTATTATATTCGGGATTCGGATGCATCTAAATTTGGCGGATTGACTTATTATAGTCAAAGATCGTCGCTGAGGTGGCTCAGGTCGAATCTTCTGGATATCTGTCATATCTGTCAGATATGCCGGATCCGTCAGATATGTTGGATCCGGCAGATATGTCATATATGATCGATATATTGTATACGTTAGATATGTTAGATAGGACATATATGTTATATAGGATAGATAGATTTAGCGAATCATATTGTAGCCAAATAATGTATATAAGGCCTCAGAGTTCGCTTTGAATAAAATCATCTCTAGCAATCGCTAATAAACGTTTAAACATATAACTCATAACATTCGTTTTCCCTAATTCCCGATAAATAAACTATCATACAACCCCGTGACTACGAATTAGAGCCTCGTGACGTAGTCTAGAGCTCTATTTGGCCTAATAACTCGGACCAAGTCTTTCCACGCCCTCTTTCGTGCCTACCACTATTAGGGTCTGGTAGAGTTTAGTGGGTTTAGAGTGTTGATTTGGATTAGTTTCGTCCTAATCGATACCCGTGAAGCCTTATTTCGACGTTAGGGGTCGATTTAGCCCCTCACAACGTACGTATCATGGCTGAAGTTCAAGACGCTGCAGAAAGTATTAAAATATTAATTCATTGAAAATTAACCATAGCTTGATTATAAATGCCAAAGGAGTACGCCCTTCAAAATTTTCTGCATATTCGATATGTTCGCAAACTAGAGCTAGAAAATTAAATATGCCATTGGCTAGTTCTTTTGAGGCAACATTAAAATTTTCTACAATAAATCGAGATTCTTTCTTGTTTAAGAATCATATTGATCATTGTGCTCTTAACTTGAAGCATTGTGACTGGATATCTGCAAATCCTGCTGAAAACCTTTTAACTAATGAATCTCCTAATGTTTAAAAATACAATGTTCGCAATTTGAATTAATTGTTGAAAAAGAAACAATAAAACCTTCTAAAGAAATAGTTGCCAAAGTAAAAGATGCTTTAAACCATTATAACCCTTATAATGAATTAATGAGTGTTTTCGAAATTTACGGAAAATTTCTTCCTAAAAAAGTTATTCTTGGACATAAAATATACAGAGTTACTCGTTTAATTGCGGATGAGAGTCTGCCTGATTTTAACTTTAAAGAAGGAGAACGGTCAGCTTCCAAATTTATGGCAAAAGAATATAATGATATTTTAAGCCAGTGGGAAAAGTGCATGAGCTTATATGGTTTTGATTCGTCTTATTTTGTGTCAATTGACGATAAATTAATTATGAAAGATCAACTTGAAAAGTGGATAAAATCATGCTCAGAAGGCGATTATGAATCATTACAAATAGTCAGTTGGAATGAATATATGAAATATTTGAAGAGCCTCTTTGTCAGGAAATCAAATCTATTCTTGGAATAATTTATCAGCCAGAAAGTTTTAATGTAAGAGAAAAGGTGCTATATTCTGGAATAATTCCAGTCAATATCCCAACTTTTTCTTATCGAGTAAATTTCCCAATTCGCTTTAAATCAAAAGATTACCAACTTTTTGGAAAACTCAAACTAAAATGGAAAACCAATTGATAAAGTTTTTATCAAGTTTAAATCTATGGATATATGCGGATTCTATGTGTTCGTGGAAAATTTTAACGTTATTGAGTGAGTTTATTTCCATTGTTATCATTAATTTAATTAACTACAATTTTCTATTAATGTTTACTTTGTAGAGAGGACATGAAATTGCAGATAGAATGGATATTAATTGGAATACCCGCAAAAATTGGATTTTTTATCATGAATACACGAAATATTTGCATTTTAAGATCGATTAGTACTTTGTTTTCAGTAAATTCAGTTGACACTAATTGGAATATTATATTAGATGTTCAAGAAAGCCTACCACGAAATTCAATCCTCGTTACTTCATTTAAATATTCATCCAAATTTCGAAGCCGATATTCAAAATTACCGATATAAAATTGAGCTTGATGTTTATTATGCTAATTATGATTGTTCAATAATTTCGCCTATGAAAATAGATGATTCTTCACCTATGGAAATAGATGATTCTCTTGAAAATATTTTTACTAACAGTGACGTTATGGTGATGAATCGAAATGCTTAGTTCAATGTTTTATTCTTTCTCTAGAAAATCAGGAGAGATTGATAGCTCATTTAAATGCGATAGACAAAACCGTTAATTCAGAAATGTTAATTACAACAGGCCAAATTGCATCTCGACTACATTCTATTAATTTGTAAGTAACAGCATTAGAATATTTTTAAATCAGAAATCTCGATATTCCAACATAAATAAAACAATGTTAATCAATCCATATACGTCATTACATATTCTAAATTAGTTGGTAAGAATCATTATTAGATTATTTTTGAAATTAGAAATCTCGATAATTCCAACACAACTAACGATAACGTTGACTAATCCACATACGTCAAACGAAAGACCGGAATTGATAACTTCGTCCAATGATATTGTTTTACCGACTGCATGGGTTATTGAAGATAAATCACCATTTATTGTCGCAGATCATAATGAAATCGGATTAAAATGAAATTGAGGACCTTTCTTGCTCATCTTTAAAGCTTATAAAACCCACTTATACTCTTTTATTAATAAAACTAACTCTAAACC